TTATGTTCCCCGCCTTCTCTGAATTTTGGGGGAAAAAGAAAGACACTTCCCCTCGTAACTTTTTGGAAAAAATGCATACTGTTAGCAAAGAAAAGGGACAAATGAAGGATCGTAACAATTTGGCACCATGTGGTCCCGCAGCGATGAACCACCAATGCGGGAGATTTCTGGCGCGCAATTTTTCGAATTTCTCCGAATCTGCTTTTGACCTTTCCCATTTGCTTTCTTCTTCTATGTTGCGCGGCTGGTTTTTTCCTCATCTTTCAACAGGAGGATCTTATAGTGGCACCCTCTGACCTTGTTTCCCTTTTCCTTCTAGATTTGTCTGCGAACAGTTTGTGGAGCATGGAGTGTTGCTTATTTACAGGTCTAAATCCGAATCTAGTTTACGTGCTCCTCTCTCTTCTCGTTCACTTAGTTTCGCGAACTTTTTGAGCTGTTCACTCCCTTTTCTCTAAATTACTCTCCAGTCTTCTTTTCAAGTTGCAAAGGAAATGTTCTTTTAAGGAATATTTTGAACTGCAATATTTACTGTTTAGGTACTAAATTTACTAACATCAACATGGTTGCTCTAAACCAAGAGACTTTCCCTGCTAACTCCTCTGAAGAGACTGAAAGTGTTGCTGTTGCTAACGAAGAAGTGGATCTTCCTGAGCTCAGCACTGAACAGTGAGTTATCGAGACGTAGTGCGATGAAATATTCTTTTGTTTATACGGTGGTTTATTCATTCAGACTTTTTTCAGAAAGAAGGAAGCTGTTAAGGATCTGCTAGCTCAAGGAAAGCGTGATTTCAAAGCGGGCGACTATGAAGCGGCGGCTGACAAACTTAGCACATGCGCCAACTACTCGTAAGTTTTATTTTTATTCTGTTTTGTGAATATTAAGGTAATAACAGTAGGACTGCAGGTACTAATGTTCTCGTTTAGGGCTGAAGTTTACGGTGTGTTCGCTAGTGAGTCGTTTGATCCTCACTACTATTATGGCCAGTGCCTCATCGAATTGGGTCGCATCGAGGCTGATGTGTTGAAAAACGCTATGACTGATATGCCTGAAGCTGATGAAGAGGAAGAAGAAACGGAAGAAACAGAGAACGGTACTGAAGAAAAGGAGCAAGATAAGGATGAGACTATCGGCGATACGGATAAACTCACTGGTTAGTTTTTAGAATGCTTTCTGAAGCAGAAAAATAGGAAAATAGTATATCGAGTCTTTGAAAAGAAAGCGCAGTTGCGTGAAGGTTGTGCATTTATTCACGTATCTCATTTCACCAGACAAAATAGTCCTCGCTGCTCAAGTAACTTTTAAGGCTAGTACATGTTCAAGTATTATAGGTTGTCGGTTTCATTCGATTACCTGTAGTCGCTAGTTAACTCTAGTAAAGAAAAAGTTCGGCAACATCGAGAGCGCCTTGACTAAAGACCCTCTCAGACAGACCCGGCGTCCCATTGCACGAGTTTGACGGACTTGCTGGCAAATCTGCACGACTTGCGAATTGCTGGCTCACTTATCTCTCCTCAAAATCAGTACTGGTACCATCAGCTTGCAAAAAAAGCAGATTTCTCAGAAAGGTTCGCTAAGGTAGTGACCTGCCCCGTCAAACTTTCGGGGTAAAAGTGAATGAGGATCTCATTCCATTGATCTTCCTACTGATAGCAGAGTGATGGAATGGGTACTTCAGTTGCTTCCTAGGCTGCGTTCATAGTTTGCGTCAGTGTTCTGAGCGACTAGGGAAGAAAACATGTCGATCAGCGTTCTGAGCGTTTCGCGGGGTAGTCGCGCTGTCGCAAGTATGAACGCAGTTATTCTTGTTTTCGGGTACTCTTCCTGTAATGCTGAATTTGAAACCAAGGCCTGTTGTGAAAGCCTGTGGCACTTTAAAACTCCCCTCAATCCCGACTGGAAGCAGGAATCGGTGTTCCATATTTTTCACCTTTTGCTACACCTATCACTCTTCAGAAAGTGAGCGAGAAGAGATAAGAGAACAGGTAGAAGAAGCACTCGCGGAAAATGCTGAGGAGTTGGAAAAGGCTCAGGCTGCTGCCAGCGGTGATAGTGAAGTAAAAGTAGAAGAAAAGGTCGCGGAGGGGTCAGAAAAGGAGGCGGTCGAAGAAGAAAGTGTGACTGGTAGCTGCTTTTGTTTTTATTTCCAAAGTGTTTCAATTTACTGAGTGACGCACTTTTCAGAATCTGACAGCAAAGCTGAAGAGAGTGAGGAGCCAGCGGTTCCTGATTCTACTGAGTCTGCTGCTGCCGAGGTTCCAGAAGTACCTGGTGTTGCCGAAGTGCCTGCCGTTCCTGACGCTGCTGAATCCACAGCCGATGAACCAGCTGTACCAGATGCTACCGAATCTGCTGCAGAACCTGCCTCCTGTGACGAAAAGCCTGAGGCGATGGAACTGAACGAAGCAGGTGATGCAGAAGCAGTGCCTGCTGTGACAGGTACGTTGATAAAACACGCGTAATGTTCGCTACTTTTGTTCTGTATTGCCAGGAAAGCGATGTATTTCGAAGTGATTGTTTCAGAGACCGACGCTGAGGCAAAGGACGACACAGAGGAGGAACCAAGTAATTTCCAGGCTGCCTGGGAGGTATTGGAGGTGAGTGTTTCTTTTAACGAATTTCCGGTGATTTTTTTAATATTGCTGCGCGTTGCTTTGTTGTAGCTATTCTGGGGCGTAGCGGGGTTTTGGTTCGATTTTCTCTACTGATGCCTTGGTGGGGTCGTCCTGTCCACTCTGGCCTTTTATCTTCCAAAATGACTGTGATGAAGCTGTTTTAGCATGAAAATTGCTGTTTAATGCCGCAGTTCGAGCTCCTAAAGTTATTGCAAGAATGCGGAGTTGTGGGCAGAAGTCAGACCCTCGGCGGGACTTGAGCTTGCATCACCCGCTGACCGGACGAGTGTGCTATCCATTACGTCACCGGGGCCGCTCTTACCTCTCAGCTCAATGGTTTTT